ACAAATTTCGCCTTGAATTTAACCCAGGAAGAATGTGCCATTTCTGCTTATCAAAAGATGAAACTGTGCATTTAACATGTTTTTCATGTATTCAGGAGTCCCAAGCTCACAGTGAACTCTTACTGTCCATTGGTTATGATCAACTCAGCTGGAAGACTCAAGTCCCTCTTCCTTTAGATTCTTACACATCCACATTCTGCTATATTTTGGAACGGCATGTGTGGAACGACCCACAGAGGGAAATACCATTTGGTTGGCAACTTCTTCGGAACAGGATTTCTGCAGCTGTACATTGAACAAACAGAAACAGCTGATTCCTCAATAAACTTTCGAAGTTAAATATTTCTAAATAATTTCTGAAGGAGGTTGAACTTAATAATCCAGATTCATTGGGGGATATATAAGGGAATTGCAAAAAGGTTATGGAAAATGGAAATAAAAGTGTTTTGGTAACCAAATGGCCAACTAGAGACCAACTAGAGATCATTATTCTCAATGAAATAAGTCAATCCCAAAAGGGCAAATATATATTTTCTCTCACAGAAGGCAGCCTTCATGCATAATACAGGATCAATAACCTTTTCCACACTGATTTTGCTACATCTTGGGGTGGTTGATACCTTTGCTTTTATTTTCATTCACTCAAAAAAAGTGTTTGTTTTTCGTATTAATCTCACGGACTCATAGGTCACACAATAGCATCATTTGCTTCAGGAAGGTCTTTGATTTTTTTTCCACCTTTTTTTCAGCAATACATTGGTCATTCAACAGGTTATTTAACTTCATGTTGCTGTAAATTTTCAATTTTTCTCCCTATTGTTGATTTTGTTGTATGGCTTTTCATTTAAGGGGATGTATAGTAATAGTCTAACATTAGTGTAACAATAGTGTAACAGAGACTATCACATACAGATGTGAAGATATAATGCAGTGTGCATCTCTATTTATAAACCAAAGATGGACTCTGAATTCTAGAAGCAAAGCTGGTGTTCAAGAAGCCATGGTGGTAAAACCACAGTGACCAGCCTTTTGCCCTCTGAGCAGCACTAGCAACATAGGCCTTACCCCTCCTGACTCCAGTCCCTGAATATACTTTTATTGAGTACCTACTGTTTACTAGACACTGCACTAGCTAGGCATAGATGGTGAAAAGGACTAAATATTTGTTAATACCACAAACACTGAAGCAGACACAAGAGACAGAATTCATTCACCCAGCATGCCTGAGCCCTTCAGTGTGTAAAAATCTACCCCAAAAGCTAAGAGATCATCAGGAACCAAACAAGCAAGTATCCCTGTCTTCTGAGAGACAACAAAGGAGACAAGTTAAAGAAATACATAAAGCAGGAGATGGAAACAAGTACTCAGAAGAGGACAAGGCATGTAACGTACACCATAAGTAAGGGCGCCCCAGTGGCCAGGGAAGGGTTCAGAGCAATAAGGGTTCACACAGAGCCACAGCACTAAGATGGAGGGATTCCTTCAAAAGATGCTAGAAAAGGTTCCAGAGAGAATGTGTCTTCTGCAGTGAGTTCTGAAGGACAAAGAGCAGCTTCTGAAAGAGGCAGGGAAAGGGTACCCAGGTTTGGTAAGAATAGCATATAGAGCATGGGGAAAAGGAAGTGCCTTGGAAGAGAAGTGGCAGGAGCCAAGGCGAGAGGTCAGAAGGAGTTTTACATCACAGAGAGAACAGATGGGATTCTGTAGGCAACAGGGAGCAACTGATAGTTTCCAAACTGAGGAACCAGCTGGTCAGCAGCACTTTAAGGGAATCATTTTGCAGGCAGTATGTATGACAGAGACGGGAGGCAGGCCATGCAAGGAGGGTCAGAGAGAAGGTCACAGTGACAATCTCAGCATGTCATCACATTTCCTCTACTCCCTGCCCTTTGCTCCGGAATTAAACCATTGCATCACTCCCGCTGCACTGTTGACATACCTGAAACAGGTGTCCACTCCAAACTCCCAGCAAATGACAGTTCTTTGTCAAACACGTACAATGCTTTGCCTTTTGTAGCAGAATCCACAATTAATGCTCTTGTTTACAAGTTTAACTGAAGAAATACTATGATGATTACATTTTAGGATCTTCTATCATTTAATAGCACTTGTTCTATAGTGTGTTCTGCTATTAGATAGATGCTTGCTTTCATCCTGGGACTATGCTAGCTAATCACTTAAGACATTTATATAAAGCTTAGTGAGAGAAAATACAAGTTAGTAGCAGTGTCAGATGGGTATTTTTTTCAAACACTTGGCATAATTCTATTCTTTTTTTTAATTTTTAAACCCATTTAATGAAATTTTTATTCCACTTATTACATATTTTTTGGAAGTTTTATCCCAGTGCCTATAAAACTGTTTCACATAATACAATGTTATTAACAACAAATAAAAAAAAGAAGTGAATAAAACTTCCCAAAAAACGTCCATAATTCTATTCTTTAGGGTGCCAAATGAAAACAAAATATATGGCACTTGTTCAGCAATCTCTCAATTTCAAAAGCAGAATTGTTCATTCTAAGGTATTCTGAAAAACAGGAGAAACTACACATAATCCCACTCTGTGATATATGTGGGATATAGTCTATGTATGTATGTAATACACATGGGGCACTTTAAGCATGTTTCCTTCTGGTGTCTTTTCTCCAGATCCGTTTTGTTTTCTGTAGTTGAAATTAACCATATGCAAATACTCTTGTCACATCACCACAGTTTGAATATTTTCCCTAGTTCATCATCAATGATAGCAGAAAACGAAACTGGGTATGGTTGGCAAGTGGACAAGAGTCTCAGAAAGGAGACTATAATGTTTAAATTTGTTTTTTTTTTTTGACAAATTCTCACATTTATTAGCACAAAATATCTCAATCTACCACAATCTGGCCCTTGGGAGCTTTAGGAAATAGTGCCAGTTCCTGCTCCAGAAAAGGCATTTCAAACATTCAAAGATTTCTATCACATCTCCCTTAGTTTTCTGCAGAGAGAACAACATTTATTTTGATCTTGATTCATACTTCCTGGATTCACTTTCATTGGCCTGGTTCTCAGCATGTCTCTCTAGTTTGGCAATATCCCACTGAAAACACTGCATCTAGATTTGAACATGTGGCTTCAAGTGGGGCTATGATCTCATTCTGTCTGGCCACTGTATTATATGTCTGTGGACTCACTATAGGTATATGAGCATTTTAAGTAGCCATTTTCCATTTCTGGCTCACAAAAGCTTGGATCCCCATGAGGACAGAGCTTTTCATCCTTTGCTGGCACAACTTACTTTTTACTCAGTAAATGCCCTCTACACAACATTTGATAGCATTAATTTTTATCCAATATTCTAGCCAAGTGATTTCACCCCAAGCCTCAAGTCCATCACCTCACACACTGGTTAGTTTAGTGCTTTTCTGCGTTTTGGACAGCCATGATTTCTATGTGGTCACCTGCCCAGCATGAGGAATGCTGAAGAAGAAGCCCTGCACAGTTAGATGTCAGTAGCGACCCTTGCTGACTGGCACTAGCTCTGATACACAGCGCATAATTCCATCTAACGGTGTTCATGCCATCAAGCCCATGTGTCTACCACAGTCTGTCATAAACCTGGATTCCATCAAGAGAATGCATCAATGACATTCTCAATGGTTTTTCTTTTCTACTAAAAGCCATCTATATAAAGCGATTGCCAATTGTTTCAAAGGCTATTATTGAGAATCATTTTCTGCATTCTGGAACATGAGAATATTTACTCATCTCCAGTCTTATTTAGAAGCCTAAGTATAATGACATGAAGAAATGCTCAGCCTAGGACCTGCTGAGCACCCATGACTTTGGGCTCTGTAAAAGTAGGTTCCCACAGAAGACAGTAAGGATGACACACAGCACTTGACAGAATTAAGATACAATACTGGAAATTATAACAGAAAAAGATCAAAAGATACAAACTATTCTATATTAAAATTATCCAAACAAAACGATGAGATATAAAGCAATAAAACAAAAGCTAGATTTCCCAGGTATAACATCTGTAAATAAGCTGCTGATGGGTTATTTTTCCACGTACCTTGGGCCTATTCTGCCTTAACCCATTCCATCAAAATGCACCCATGCCTTCAGGTCGGCCTGGGCAAGAACAATCCACAACACCTCCTATGAGTCCTTTCATGACAATCACAGCCACTATTTACTTTCTTTCTCCTCGTGTTACTGTTTCATCACTGGAACACTGCTTGAAGAGTTAAAAGAAACTTTTTTTGCAATGGGGTAAAAAGGCCAATGTGGCAGTAAGCCATACTATAGTTAACCTAGTTCTACATTTTCACTTGGTATTTTGTAATTAAATACTTGGAAATGCTAAAGCAGTGGTGGGGAATATCCAGCCCACAGGTGGTATAAGGCCCACAAAACCACCTGGTCTCACCCTGCCAGGACAGCCAGGAGAGAGTCAAAACTCAATAAATCTATGGCAGGTTCATTTTTAAGCTGAAAATTTTGTATGACCCACTAATGATGTTATAAATATTCAAATGGCCCTGGCAACAAAAAGGTTTCGCACCCCTATTTAGAGTGTCTGGCTTTTCCAGGAATTCACATCAGCACATTCCTCTGTGATGTTTTGGAAAATACAACTATTCCTGGCTACCATGACACAGAGCATCTGTACTGCTGGTTAACCTGTACAAATGGTTCTCACCTGTGCTTCTCACAAAGCACCATGATGCTATGCCCAACATTTCCAATCACAAGCACCAACCCTTCCCCACTATTATGAAGGATAAAATTTAGTTTTAAAATTTATTTTATTTCCTTTGTACACAAGTGTTAGTGTTAAATGAGCTTTGCATAAGCAAAAAAAAAAAAAAAAAAAGAAGAAGAAGAAGAATTGAGAAGCAAATATATCCCCCATGTTAATCCGCTCCACAGTCAATCTTGCAAGGTGGAAGAGAAACAGTTCAGCATTATCTTTAACAGTTAGGGTCATCTTTATGGTCTTACAGTCTACTTACCGTTTCCAAACTTCTCAAATAAAGACGATAATTTGTGATGTAAACTCTTCCCTTAATGGGGCCATTGAAAGGACATATGTAAATAACTTCTTTGTCTATTAAGATAAAAAAAGTACCCTAAAATAATGGAAATATATACCAAGATACACAACAAATGGTACTACTTTCATATAAACTCTTTGGCTAAGAATAACTACAGTTTAAAGATATGGAGAAAGTGGAAAGCAAGCACTGGCTCGTTCCTACACCACAATGCCAGGCTGAGGGAGGGCAGTAGAGAAACTGGCAGGGCCACATCACCTCCAGGCACTAGCAAAGCTTCCCTAAGCTTGCCAACAGTGCTGGCACCACCTGGGGCAAGGTGACAAGAGTGGGCTGCAGAAGTGAGCAAGGGGGCTGCGGCTGCTATGCTCAGGAGGCTCTGGAAGTGACTTAGTGAGGCACTACAGCCCGCAGGCAGCAGCTTTACGTAACAGTCTCGGGGGCTCACAGACTAAGCACAAACTCCAGCAGCTGCCATAGCCAGGACTGCTAGCGGCAGGAATCCATCTAACAGTATGGAGTTTAGCTAGACTCTTCGGAAACACTGCAGTGTTGTACAACAGTTGGCTGACAGAATATGGTACACCTTTGGTAAAATCATAAGGAGGAACTAAATCTCAAGTTTTTTTCACTTATAATAAGAATGAATCTTTCTTATCTTTTAAAGGTATCCTTGAATGTATTAATGACTTTTAATTTCTTAATGCTTTGGAAATCCCTTTATCCTCAGTTGCTAATGAAAAATACCCAGTAAATTTACTTTCTGGAGTTCAGTTAGTTCTTCCTCAGCAAACTTCTGGCACTGCTATCCAGTACCAAAACTTCATATGTAACCACTGTCCAAATAACACTCATCTAAAAATTGAAGTGGACACATGCCATCGGTTCCCATTTCAAGGCTAAAATTATGTGTGCAAATCTGTGGACATGGCAAAGTTTCTCATGGTGTATGGCTATGTCATTCACAAAGGCAACTTGCTTTTAGCAACAGGTTTTACCCATGTAAGTATGCTAAACCTAGACCTTAGTTCACTTAGTTCAGTGAAATAATATTTGTCATGTGATTGGAGGGTATTAACCCTAACATTAAGTTGGAATTCCCACGCCGTCAGATGTTCCTGAACTCTGAAGCCTTTCCAAGACGGATACCTTTCTTTAATACGAACTTATCATGAATAAATAAGTCAGCACATCAAAATGTTATCTCATCATTACTAAGCTCTGTTTTATGGTAAATGAAATCTAGCTTAAACCAAAATGCTCTCCTAAATTTCAAACAGGGAATGCTCAAGTCTAAGTTTATTGTTTTAAAGTATACATTGCAGACTGGAAATCTTAGTGAAGTTTTGTTCTTACAACCTTAAATCCTGAGAATTTAGAGCTCCAGCGAGGGCCTTTCAAAAATATTTCCCTCCTAAATCATTCTCAATCTTTGGTACAGAGACAAGCATATCATTGCCCTTGTGAGCACAAAGCTCTCGAAAGAAGTTTTGAGCAAGAAATGAAGGCAGAAAGTTTTCTGCATTAGCACTTCTACAGGAAGCTAGCATATTTGTAACCCTAAAGAACAAGGAGGATCCCTGACCCTATGAGACTTCTCATCAAGCCACACAATCTTAAGGCCAAAGGTTTCTTACCAGTAATCAGTGTTTCTCCTGGAAGTCGAGGAACAGCCTCACTGGGATCACAATTGACTCCATCTTGAGACATCTAGAAAAGAAACAGGCATGAAAAGAGTATCTGTGGAGTTTTTCTGCAACTAGGAATAAAAGCAACCAAAAACAAGCTTTTTGAGGAAAAGGATGAGAAACTCACCATTTGAGAAGACTGGCACAGAAAATTCCACTTAAAAAAATATAACTGGGAGCCTGGCACGGTAGCCTAGTGGCTAAAGTCCTCACCTTGCACACAACAGGATCCTATATGGTCGCAGGTTCATGTCCTAGCAGCCCAATTCCCGTCCAGCTCCCTGCTTGTGCCCTGGGAAAGCAGCTGAGGATGGCCCAAAGCCTTGGGACCCTGCACCCACATGGGAGGCCCAGAAGAAGCTCCTGGCTTTGGATCAGCTCAGCTGCGGCTGTTCTGGCTACCTGGTGAGTGTCAATCAGCAGGCAGAAGGCCTTTCTGTCTTTCCTCCTGTCTGTATATCTGACTTTCCAATAAAAATAAATCTTTAAACATATACATATAAAACTGGCATCAACACTGATGAAATGTTAACTTCTAGTCTGTATTTTAATATTATTAGCAGATTTTTAATGATAATTTTTAGATAATATTCCTAAAAGCTTTCAGGAAAGTTACAAAAGTAAATATTAATTGTACTCTATAGATACAGGTATATTGTAGTAGCTTCCATTTTTCAATATTAAATATTTAGTCATCCTCTGTGAAGAGGAAGAATGAGAACTTCAATTCCACGGGGCTTCAGTTGAGTAAAAACACAGTGATTAGGCAGGATTCTCTGCCAACGCCAGAAAACAGGTGTTAGTACTTGCAGGGTTTCTTATGTTCCTGAGAGACTTCCTCGCTCTCCTTTTGCCAAGAGCCCTCCCTTAGATAACAGCAAAGAGAGCTGGCCTGGGCCTCAGAAACCACTTCTAATCATTCTTGCCAGTCCTGCTCTCTGGGCCTGCTGACTTTCAGGGTAGTCCCAAGGCCCGACCTACTGCACTCCTTCACCGCAGCTGCTGCGCCTGGCAGATGCAGGCTTACCTACTGAGGTTCCCAGGCGGGTCCTAAGAAACTGCCTTGCCACTGACAGCCACTGTGGCCCTGTGACAGCATCTCCCACGTTACTGACTGCCCAGGTAGACGGGCACCAGTGAGGGGGGTGTGTGTTAGTTTTATGACTCATGAGGCACACTGCTGACGCCTGCTTGGGTAGAAGGCTTTGTTCGTTTTGCTCTGCTTGGCTTTTCCCCAGCAATATTCCGCATCCACCTTTCTGTAGCTGCTTTCTAAAATCTCACAGCAATCACTTCATGTGTGAAGTTAATGAGGCCTTCCTCAGGGGAGTTATGTATTAGGTGAAACAAAATAGATGAGCACACTTTTATGAATTGTCAGGGGCTATGCAAATCAAAGAATTATGAAACAAGAGAAATGCAAATTGTATATTTAGGAGAGACAAAAGAAGGGTGGTAGCTGTGCTGGACATTTTATGGTTTTTTTCTTCTTCTTAATTGAGACACAAAGTTTAAAGATTTATTTATTTTTATTGGAAAGGCAGATAAACAGAGAGGAGAAACAGAAAAATCTTCCTTCCGCATATTCACTTCCTAAGTGACTGCAATGGCCAGAGCTGAGCTGATCCAAACCCAAGAGCCAGGAGCCTCTTCCAGGTCTTTCCTGTGGGTACAGGGTCCCAAGGCTTTGGGCTATCCTCGACTGCTTTCCCAGGCCACAGGCAGAGAGCTGGATGGGAAGTGGGGCCGCCCAGATAGAACTGGCACCCACATGAAATCATGGCACATTCAAAGCTAGAATGTTGACCACCAGGACGCCACGCTGGGCCCAAGAAACAAAGTTTAAATGCCTAGGCATTTTAAAACATGTTTTAGTACTTGTGAAGTAAGCATTTTAACTAGGAAGGCAGGATAAATTATTGGCACCCAGAAATACCTTCGTCAGTCACAAGCAAAAGCATACACCTTACACTAAGACTGGAAGGAAATCATTGCTATTCCTACACATTGCCTCTCACTAGCTAAAACCAAGTACAAGGAGCAAATGTAATAGCACAGATTCTATATACTACCACAAGAAGGCAAACTTCACAAAAAAGGAAAACAATGTTTGATCAACACAGGATAACATGGGATTAATACTTTATATCAGAGCAGCTTCACCTAAGGGCTTCCTAGGACAACCTTGATGCCACTCTTGTGCCACAGGAAAATCCCTGCAGACACCCAAAGCAGAAAATACAAAGGAGAAGACTGCGAAATGTGATGACATAAATGAATCTCTGTATTTCAACAAGAGAAGCAAAATAACACAGTTTAAAAGGACAACAATAAACTAGGAGAAAAATAGCACATTTTAGAGTTGAGGAATATCTAATATTGGTAAGGAAAGGACCTTTGCAAAACAACCTAAAATGCAATGGGTAAAAGACATTTCACAAAAGAAACACAAATGCGCCATAAAAACTGTTTTTAAGTCAATCTTGTTAGTAATTAAGAAACAGAAATAAAAAGACAGCTTTTTGCTCCCTTCCGACTGCTCACTTGGTCATCCCTATCGCTACTGGTAGGAGTATCAATTAACTTTTGTACAAAGATAATGTTGAAAGCTTAAAATGCTATGACTAAATGTTAAATTCAAGCCTTCATATGTGTGCATATATATATCCACTATATATATTATATATAAACATATAAAATCTCCTAATTACACATTTTACTCTGGGTATTTTAGTCATTTTCTGTTAAGGCTGTATTTTGGTTACACGATGACTTTATCATCATAATTGGAAAATAATGACAATATTTAGGAAGGTGTAGCAGACTATTCAATCGACCTTGGCCTTCTAACAGCTGCTTCAGAAAGCTTTTGGGAACAGAGGATAGCCTGGGGTCTGGAAGTACCAGTAATTCATGAGACAAAGGTTCTCAAAAGTGAAGTTACCTGGAAGGATTTACAAATGCAAAACTTCACACATACACACACACAGACACACTCACCATCCTATTTAGAATCTTTCCTGGAACAAAGCTGGACAAAAATAAAAACATACAATACACACACAGACACACATCTCTACACACTGTGAATGAGAATGAAGCACATAATCCAATAAACCTCAAATGATCTACTATTCAAATAATGACAAGAGAGATGCGGAGAGAGAGAGAGAATTTGAAAAGTTGACTTACACTCTGAAGAGGTTCATTGTCTGAGGTGTGTGAATTACATTTAGGAGCTGATGCAGAAGCCATACTGGAAACTCTGCCAAGAAAGACAACATTTAATAACAACTGAGTTCACTTATCGTTTCCAACATATTTGACATTGAGATTTCAGTGTTACAGCTGAGAACAAGGAGCACTACTTCACAGGCGTCTTTGCATACAGGCTGTTTCCCTCATCTGAAACGCTAGGGACTCCAAGTGTTTCCCACGTGGGAAAGTTGTACAGACTTGACCCACTGAGCATCCCTAATGTGCACCTCTGTGAACGAGTGCCACTCAGCCTCTGCTAGCTCACAGAGGGAAAGAACTAAGTGAGCACAGGCAGGATGCAAAGACTCCAACAAGAATGGCAAACGGGAGCTAAACACAAAGTGGAACTCAGAGGACGTCACACGCATTCCAGGAAGGTTCAGTCCACAGCACCTCAACTAGCATCTAAAAAAAAAAAAAAACCCCTTTAATGTTTAGCAAATTATGCAAGAGAACTCAAATTTTCACAGATCTCATTCTTTAAAGATAACTTAGGGGCAGCCAAGCAGAATGATAAAAGAATGAGACAATTTAATTCACTCTGTTTTCTCCTGTAAGAATTCTGCTTTCTTCAAATTAAGACAGTTTGAAGTAGCATGGATTTGAATGCAATCAAATTAGTAAAGTTGGATTGAATCAGCATTTTCTAGGGAAAGCACAGACTTCATTGAAATAATACATATTCATCACAATTTAGGCATAAATGAAAGCATCACATTCAGAACATAGACAAGATCACTTTAATACATGGATATATTTAGAGTTGTGGAGACTAAGTAATGCTTTGGTTATTTTCTCACAGTTAATGATACAGATGGATACATATGAAGTTAGGGGGAGGTAAAAATCACATCCAATTCAGCAAGGTGGTCATGGCTATTTGCAGTCTTTCTACCAGGCAGCATTTTAAAAGTGGCCACACGCTAACAAAATCCAGCATGGACAATATTAACACACCTTGGCACAGAACCTGTTGCTTTAACAGCTTTGCAAGGCTGGGCTCTAGCCTTAAGAAATGCCCAAGTGACCTCTGAGCAAGATGCAAATAAGGGCAACTGCCAAAAGGAAGAGGTGGCGCTGACCAGGTGGGGCCAATCTACATGGACTATGCGCATCTCCCAGTGTTCAAGTGTACAAGAGCTCTGCTCATGTCTGTCTTGGCCATGGATGCTTGCTGGTACACAGGGGTACTTAACCACTATCTGCTGAATGAATGACTCATTAAATGGGGAATATTCAACATTGTCACGAGAGGGCATCGGTTCACTGAGTCTCAGAACACTGCATCTGAAGCTTAAAATGGAATCTTCAAGGCAAAATATTTCTGTACAGAAAGGGATATACCAGGCCTGCTGTGATGGCTCAGTGGCTAAATCCTCATCTTGCATGTACCAGGATCCCATTTGGACCCCAGTTCATGTCCTGGTTGCTCCATTTCCCATCTAGCTCCCTGCTTAATGGCCTAGGAAAGCAGCAGAGGATGGCCCAAGGCCTTGGAACCCTGCACCCATGTGGGAAACCAAGAAGTTCCTGGCTCCAGGTGGGCTCAGCTTCAGCCGTTGCAGCTACTTGAGGAGTGAATCAGCAGATAGAAGATCTTCCTGTCTCTCCTTCTCTCTGTAAATCTGCCTTTCCAATAAAAGTGAATAGATCATTTTAAAAAGGAATGGATATACCAATGCAGAAACATCTAAAAAGAGTGAGCAACTGTAAAATGGATGAAATTCAGACAGATCAGTATACAGTATGCTTTGAAAAATCCCTCTGATTTTAAGTGCCCATTTCAAACAAAATAACCCACTATTCTTAGTGCAGCAGAAAGGATGACATAAACTAGACAAAACAAGTCAGATGTAACTGCCTTCAAAGCATTCAATTAAGAGCTGGCAGGGTGGTAGAGCAGGCTAACCCCCCACCTGCAGCACCAGCTTCTCATATGAGTCCCGGTTTTTGCACTCTGACCCCACTCTCTGTTTATGGCCTGGGAAAGCGATGGAGGCTGGCCCAAGTTCTTGGGCTCCTGGTTTGACAAGCCTAGCCGCACACATTGCACACATTTGGGGATTAAAGCAGAGGATGGAATCTCTCTGTCTCTCCATCTCTCTCTGTAAACCTGCCTTTCCTATAAAATAAATACATCTCTAAAATTTAACAAATTAGTGAGAATAGATTTAAATTGGGGGATCTCTTTAATAACAAAATTTTTAGTAACCAAATACATTTATATTTAAAACATTCTACAAGTCAATGTTTTTGAACAGAAGTTATCTTGTTACTGTCAAATCAACATAAGAAATTTAAAATGCTGGGTTACAGTCCAATCAGCAATCACTTCCCTATTCCTGTTAGCTCATAAAGCCACAAAGAAATAAGACTTCCTGTTACTTTCAATCCTTATGAGAAACTTTCTAGTCAAATTGAAAGTGCCCACTTTCCCTTCATTTTTACACTGTTTGAACTATACATCTCACATACCATACAACTCATAATGAGGTTCGTGGTGTATCCAGAGTTCCATAATTATCACCACAATCAATTTTAGAAAATTTTAATCATCCCAAATAGTCAAATAGGCATCCATTAGTAGTACTCACCATTCTCTATTCCTGCAGCCTCTGAGAAACCAGGAAATTGCTGACTATAGATTTACCCGCTCTAGCCATTCAGTACAATGGAATCATAATATGCAGTCTTTATGTCTAAAGCCATGGTTTTTGGAGTTATACCAGACACTGCTGTTAAAAGCTGGGTCAAGTAAAAATTTGGAACATTCAAGGATCAAAGAAACAGGTGTCGGCTCCACTGCGGGGCAGCTTCAGTTGATTCCTGAGGCTTTCAGAAGCTGGACCGCACAGATGTCAGAGCGGCCTGATTCAAATCTCAATGCCCCAAGTCACTTTTTGACCTAGGACAAGTTAACTTTGACCCCTCTGGACTTCTGTTGCCATAACTTCTGTTTTAATTCATCATTTTGGGCAAAATAAATAAAAAAAGGGTTTATACCCATCCAGAATATCTGCTACATTGCTAGCATGTGTTCAATTATGAAAGGATAATTACTGAATGCTGACACCCTAAGCAGTCGTGGCCCCAGAAAGACTAAGGGGGAGTCAACTACTACAGGCAGAGCAATCGTTGCTGGTGAGTTCGAAAGCATTTGCAAAGTGTATGACGACAGTGACTCAAACAGAACAATAAGCAGCAGTGTAGCACTGTGCAAAATGTACTAGACAGCTGAGCACTGGCTGTGGTCTGTCCCTGATTGATTAGGCAAGGGACTTCATCCCTATCTTTCTCTATAAAACTATGTTGGACTAACTGCAATTCAGTAATAATTAGAAGCTACAGCAAAGCTGGCAAAAACCAGCTACTCTTTTGATTACAGTCTTTTGTCCCAATCTCCTAACACAATGAAGTTTGAATTCTTTTTATTTCAAAAACAAACATTGGGGCTGGTGTTGCGGCACAGTGCATTAAGCCACAGCTTGCTATGTTAGCTTCCTGCCAATGCACTGAGGAGGATGAGGATGGTGAGATTATTTGGGCCCCTACTCTCACATGGAATATATGGACGGAGTACTTGGTCCCTGGAACAGCTCTAGCTCTTGCAGATATCTGCACGTGCACTAGCACACGGAACACTGATCTCTGTCACCCTTTCAAATAAAGAAATCTGAAAAAAATAATAATAATAAAAAATTTTTGCTACATTGGCTTTAAAGCAAAATATATCTATATCATAAGACTCTAGCCAAGAGTAGACCTACATTAGGTTCAGAAAAACAATACTCTGGTGCTATGTGCCCAACCCTCCTGGCTAACTTCGTGTATCCTAACACCAGAGTATCCGTTTTACTTGGGGAAAAAGTATTTCCAAGAGTTCTTTTGAAAGAAACTAGGTTTAATGTGACTGGTCCAGATCTTAGTAGAGAAATTTTACATTAGGAAACATGGTCAAAAAATTCAACTAATCTGGTCAACCAATATCTGAGGCTCTCAATGTCTTTTTAAAAAATGATATAAAGGTAATATATTGAACGAAGCAGAGATTTAAGTCACATGGTCTTTATTCGACCTCAATGGCCCTATCCCCCCTCTCCCTGCCCTTCCTTCCACCCTCTCTTTATCACCACCTTTTGGAAGATCATCGTGGTTATCCACCTTTCAACACGGGCACATGCGCTGTTCAGACAAAATTCTGATCTGTCTAGGTTATTAATGTATTTGCAACACTTATAACAGCATCTAGCACCTAACGGGTATTTAATACATATTAACAGAATGAATGAAATAAGCAACAAAGACATAGCCAATGAAGTTAAAATTTGTCCAGTATTTCACTTAAGTCAGAAATTTACACAAGCTTAAGAAAAATGGTACAAATCCCAGAAGACAGCCTAGATGGCAGAAGTACAGCATGAATTCACATCACTTTGAAACAACTTGCACCACAAAGAAAAAACAATGCTATCTTCCACTATAAACTTTCCTGATGAAGCTACAGAAACACCTTCCACATGTTTCTTCTCTTAGACCCCTTTCTGAGGAATACAAAAAGTACAATTACACAAAACACCTGGAGCAGACTTAACTGGAAACTTTAAATCAATGCAGGCCATATTTACGTTTATTTAAAACATTTTAAAGCAACAGAAACAGCAAATATTTTTTTTCCCCTCCCGGCCTTTGCAAGTACTTACTCTGTTTCTCACTGTCACCTGATTTGAGGTCAATGACTCTTGCTAAGTGGTTTTTCTGAACGTTCTATGTACAAACAACACAGCAACAAAAAGTATGCAGGCTTTCTTTTTTCATCTTCCTTAATGTGGTCTGGTACTCTGTGCACTGGTATCTAAATCAAGTTCAGGCATGCTTTTTCTGTGGAGGCTCCTGTGATGGCTGTGGAACCTATCCAGTATTAAAATTTGACTTTTAAATCCAGGCCTTCCTAAGGAGGCTCGCTTTACTTGGAAATTTATTCTGAAAAATGATATCAAGTGCCGTGGCACTGGGTATTATCAAATTCAATACTCCCTTTGTTACAAAACAAATTTCTGCAAAGCCCCCTTTGTTAGCTCAGAATGACAATCACTAGTATTATTAATCTAACCAAAATGTTTAAAAATATATACTGTTTTAATCCCAGTGTAAAAGAGAAATGAAAGGAGAGGGACTTTTAATAAAATAATAATTTTCAATATGTTATATGAACAACTCCCCTAGTGCCAGTGTGGCCTCCACGGGGAGAATCACCCCCAACAGACCCACTCAGGGAAAGTTCTGTTCTAGACGTTGGAGTGCCAGTAAATGCAGGATTTATAGGACTCGATGCATTATGCCTTTTTGCAACAAAGTTGTTATAGTTGTTAGCCAGCTGGTAGGCAAGAAAATGAAAACATACCTTGAGCCATTTCAGTAAAATCATCTTTTGAACAAAAACAAAACAAAACAAAAAGAAAATAAAAATAAATTTTAAAAACCAACATTCTCACTCACTGAGACCACATCCACCGTTCATTTAACGTCCACCTTGATTACTTGGCAGGAGGGGTGCTCAACGCATAGGAAAATAAAGCATGACCCGCAAAACTATGAGCCAATTCATGTTTAGTCATTTTCTTTTGAACAAAGGGTTAGCAGACTTTTCCTGAGAGAGGATCAGGAAGTCAACAGTGGCCAGTGGGGCTGCAGAGCCCTGCCACAACTACTCGGCCCTGGGCAGTGGGACTGAAGCAGCAATATGGAATTGCATGAATGTGCTGTATTCACATCAGATCTCACTCAGGAAAACAGCCCTCCGCTCCCTGCTTTCTTTAGTCAAAGTAAGTAATAACCAGGTCCCTTTAAACTGAACAATTTGCTATTGACCCCGCTCTTCAGAGCTTGTGGAGATGCTACATGCCCAGTGGTGGAACACTGTGAGACAGCTGAAAAAAAGGATGCCATTCCATAACCACATCAATGCAGCTCTCGAGTCCCAAATCAGTCACTTAATTCCAAATGATCATGCAACCTTGGGCAACTTGCAGTTTCCAGTTTCTGAAATGGTCTCTCTTCTTGGGGTTGTGGGAAGAAACACGTGAACCGATAGCACAGAAAGCAGAATCAAGGGTTCCTGAATGCTTCTGCCCCGCCCCCGGGGCACTAAGGCACTAGGCTGCACTGCCTTATGATACCTGTGACTGCCTCCCTATTCGACATATAGGTTCCCAAGAGAGCAATCTACTCTTGGCAAGGCTTTAAAGCAGTTTACCTTCAAAGTACATCTAATTCCATTAAAAAGAGTGGGGTGGGGGGAAGGGAAGGAAAGGAAAACACTTGACTCCTAG